ATCTTTGCGCAGGCTTAGTTGGAGGGCTCGGAGTTACGCCTTCGGGAAATATCGGAGAAGATGCCGCGGTATTTGAGTGTGTTTTCATATATAGACGTTATCCGTGAAATTTCCTTTTCTTCAAACACAAATCATTAAGATCAGTCCACGGTACTGCACCAGATATTGCTGGTCAGGATAAAGCCAATCCTACGGCTTTATTGCTGTCTGCAGTTATGATGTTACGGTATATGAATCTCACTTCATACGCAACAAAGGTTGAACGCGCCGTATTCGATGCGATTGCTGACGGGACAGCTAAGACAGGAGATCTTGGAGGTTAGCAATGATTAGATACAGCATGTGTTCTTTTTTTATATGTAGGATTTTGAATAGTATAACACCTGACAAGGACTTTAGCAAGTCCATGAAGAAATAGTTTTATTTTGAAAGTTGCAACCAATTTGTTGAAGTGTCTGATGTGCAATGCAACCTTAAAATCATTGAAGTGACCACAAGTGATGTGACCAGAAATGCCATCAGGTTTTGTACTTGATACGGTCATTTAGGTACTGGCACCTGCTCCTCATTCACAGCTGACGTCTGCGCACGTATCAGGAACATGGATTGATTTTTTTGGCATATTAGCGTTATTTCTCATAATTAGGCTGCTACTTGTAGTAATCGTTTTATTCTTTAGATTAGGTAATCTCAGTCAATAACCATGATATAGTCTTTTTTTATTTGCCAGTTAACATGAGCCAGCTTGGAACCTCATTTGTCATGACTCACCACTGATGATTCTGATATACGCCCCCTTGATCTAATAATTCAACTATTTAAGACTTACAGTGATTAGGAATCGATTGAGTCAAGTTTCTATATTTTGCACATAATAAAATATGGATTCACGCAAGTTTTTGAACAAAGAAACGTGCTCGATGATAACATTGTAACATTCCACATAATTTATATCTAATCTGGTCTATCCCAACGACAGACAAAAGGTGGATAGACGACTTCTGCTTGTTATTCTTTAGTGGTGTGCTGAGAAACCAGCCCTGTTTTGAAGAATGTATTAGCTACGCATGGTTCCTAGGACAGTTGCAGTTGAGTTTCTTTTGATCTTATGCTGAAATGATCCTATTAACAGATTTACGGTGAGATGTATTAATAGATGTATCCAATGGTGATATCATTTGATTTGTTATGCGCAAATGAGCTACAGATATGCGAAAATTGGAAACAGACAAGCATATCAACTGTTTCATTTACCTACAGAGCTGGCAGACTTTCTTTGTTATATATGCATTGTGTTAGAGCATGTTTAGTTGCACTGTCCGATCCAAATATTCGAGATTCCTCCTCAATCTTCCCTATGTATACGGGGTAAACAGCAAGAAAACCAACAACTATCTACTGCAAGGGATTACTTAACATAAAGTTTGTTGTTATATTTCCATATTGCAATTATTCGGTTCTGTTGACTA